CAGGTTGGGCTTAGGCACTGGATCAGCTACTAAGTCTGCTAACTTCTTTGAAATGCTAATCTTGATGAACCCCTTGAAGTATATCCCTTAATGGAGTGCACCCTGGGAAGGGGGCTTGGCCAGAGTAAAGGTGGGGAGCTTGCTAAGGTCATGGGGGTGAGCTGTGGTGGTGTGGGGTTTCTGCAGGTGTTGGTCACTGGTTAGAGGCTGAGATGGAAAGCCATAGGGATGGCTGGGGTTGGGGTAAAGGCTAAGAAGAGAGGATCCAGAGATTAGCTAGGATGAGGTGCCTTGAATTACATAGGGTGGGTAGGGAGCAGTGGTTGAGATTAAAATGACACTGTCAACAGTCGTGTGGGAAAGTGTGGAGTTTGGGATGACCCTCAGGTTTGGCAACCATCAACAAAGGCCCATTATGTTTTCCTGTCCAAGAGAAACATGTGTCAGTACAAAACTTCCAACTAGCCTTCTTTTGTAACCAAAAGAAGCTTCTAGTACCAGGATTAGGTTACACCTCATTGGGATTTTGGTCAAATGAGACCTATGGGAACCCCCAAACAACCCAGGGTATTGCTAAGATTATAGATTCATCTCCACAAATTGATGGCAAGGCCCCATTGCTGAAAACATGGATAAAAACTCACTGAACACCGAGAATCTGAGCTGGTACCTACTATCTTTCCCCCTCCTACTGTCTATGGTACAGAAAGGCCTTAGCATGCTACCAAAGAAGAAATGCATACACCAAACCAGCTACAAAGCCTTTGATCTGCTATGGTGTCTGGCCTGTAAGACATGCTAGCACAATGGTGGCACAAAGTTTGTGGGAGGAACCAACTAATCTGATTTGACTTAAGGCCCACTCCTTGAGATGGAATAAACCCCTACGCGACACTGCTTGGTTCACTAAGAATCTGAGGCTAGATATCACAGAGACCTAGTTTGACCTAGGGCAAAACTACTACCGATCTTTAAAAAAAAAAAAAGCAATAAAATGACTGCCATTGACATTCTGCTATCTTACAGAACAGTGCCTTGCTCAGCCATCAGCAGAGAAGCTTTCTCCTGCAGCAGATGAGAGCAGAGAATGAGAGGCCTTGGAATACTCAGTCCTAAAGAGAGGTCTCCATCAGACCCTCCCCTCAGGGTTCAGAAAGCCCTGTGGAAGAGGAGGCAGGAAGCGTGTAAGAGCAAGAGGGGATGGAGGACTCCAAGGAAACAAGGTCCTCTGCATCAATAAGATCAATGCACACATGAACTCAGAGACTGAGGCAGCGTGCTCAGGGCCTGCACAGGTCTGCCCCAGATAGCACTGACACCTCTTATCATTTGACTGCCTCCACATGAACCCAATACATGGGCTCTGAATTATCAGTGAGCCTCATGGCTTCACTCTTACCTGCTGTCCAGTGTCCAAATACAGTAAGGTCATGTGACAATTGTAAATATTCCAGAATGCTAACATCTTCAAAGGCTTTACAAGACAATAATATTAGGAATATTAATATTTCTCCTAAATTTAAAAATTACATTTATTTACTTAGGTGTGTGTGTGTGTGTGTGTGTGTGTGTTTGTGTGCCACAGGGTACATGTGGAGGTTAAATTTGTGGGGTTGGTTCTCTCCTCTACCACGTGAGTCCTGGGGATAGAATTCAGACCATCAGGCTTAGCGACAAATGTCTATACCTGAGCCATCTTACTGGCCTAATTACTCATTTTAAAGTGGTGTATGTTCATTGTACATCATTATGAGTTTTTCCACTTCTTTCTCCTTTCTTTCTTTCTTTCTTTCTTTTTTTCTCCCTTCCTTCCTTCTTTCCTCCCTTCCTTTCTTTCTTCTTTTGGTTTTTCAAGACAGGGTTTCTCTTGTAACAGCTCTAGCTGTCCTAGAACTAGCTCTGTAGACCAAGTTGGCCTCAAACTCACAGAGACCCACCTGCTTCTGCCTCCGCAGTGCTGGGATTAAAGGTGTGCACAACCACTGCCCAGTTTATAATAGCTTTTCTTTCCAGTATACTTTTATACTTTCACTTCCATGCATCCCTCATTCTTTCTCCTTTCCCTCTGGCTAGTCCCCTTCCTTCCCCCACATAATATATAATGTTTTAGGTATCAATATAAAACTCATTATCCACAAATGAGTAAAAAACATGTCACATCTGTCTATGTCTGACTTATTTTACCTAAAATTAATTGTAACATGAATAATAAATGACCCAGAGACCGATATTGGGATTCAAGCTGAAGATCAGAAAAGCAAACAACCAGATCTTACCTCTACCTCTGACTAAAAGGATTAACCCTGTCTCTAGTTCTCTCACCAAGCCTCAGACTGCTGACTCCTGGGCGTGGCTGCAGAATGAATGCCTTCCTATCCTCAATGTGGCTGGAGAATGAATGCCAGCTCTGAGACTCTGCTCTTGTCTTAAATACCTCTCACGAATCCTGGGATTAAAGGTGTGAGCTCTGTTACTCTTTTAGACTGATTCAATCTCATGTAGCCCTGGATGGCCTTGAACTCAGAGAGATCCATCTGCCTTTGTCTCCTGAGTCCTGGAATTAAAAGTGTGTGCCACCATTGCCTGGCTTCTATGGCTAACTAGTGTGGTTGCTTTGCTATTTTGATCTTCAGTGGCTTTAGTAATCACAAACAATGTATTATCACAATTAATCTTGATGAGGGTGTGGGAAAAGGGTGTTCATTAGAGTAGCAGAAGTAATTGAAGGGGACTCTGGCACAGTGGGGGCTCCCTAACCAGACCCTGAGACCCAAACACCTGTTTTTACAGAGAAACTCTTTGTTAAGCAGGAAAGAAAAGTTAAAGGGAGCTTCCGGACTCAGGTGGAAAAACAGCAGCAAATGACCTTGCAGGTGTCTCTCTCAAGAAGAGCAAAAGGGAAGGTCTGTGTTAGAATGGGCTAGGATGTGTGGTAAAGGAGTCAGAGGATGAGGGAGAAAGCAAAGGGGACAAGGGAAAGGGGCAGGGATATTTATCCTGGACTGCTTCTGGATAGAGGGGAGACAGACATGGCACATAGACAAATGGCAGTTTATAAAGGTAAAGGGGGAAACCCTACGTTAGGATGAGGTGTTTAATTTTAATTGGGCATGTTAATTAGGTGAACCAAAGGGGGCTGCTGATAGCTGGACTTTGGTGGTCAGCTCCAGGAGGAGGAAATGGCTAAATAAGGGAATAGACTTTGGTGGCTGGCTTTAGGAATGTAATCTAGCAAGGCAGAGGGAATGGAGAGAAGGGTAAGGCCTGGCAGAACCACATGGTGTAGTGTTCCTTCAGTAGTGGGCTGTCTAATTCCAGCTTGCCTGGGGCTTCTTTTTATCGGCTGCAGGAGTTGCAAGGGGATAGGGGAAGGACAAATGCTAAAGCACAGTTTCCCCCCCCCCCAATAATGTCATAAATTTGAGAATTATATTGGCTAGAGCATGTCACACAATCAGGGCCATATTTAAGGGTGACTTCTCATTGGAAGAGAGACAAAGCCAGAGGGAAGAGAGGGGAGCCATGGGACCTGACAGGGGGCTGGGGGAGTTTTTGTCCATTTTTGAAGCTGACCATCCTGGGTTAAATTTCAAAAGTGGCAAAGACAGAGAAACAACCAAATAAAGGGTGGGTAAGCCTATGTGAATGGCTCTGTAACAGAAATGTCAAGGAATAAGTGGTTGCAGTATATGATTGGAAGAATGTGAAATACTGTATGCGTTCACTTTCTGGAATAGGTGCCCAACTTCCACACACTTCAAAAGCTGATGTGTTTAGCCTCTCATTTGGACATTTACCCAGAAATCATCTAGATCAGTTCAGATGGGTGTTTAACCTAGCTCTCAGAATGTGGGTGTCAAGAAAAAGAGACCAGGATACTAGTCTTTTCCTCGTTCTTTAGGGTTGAGACATTTTAAGACACATCAAAGGTGAACTGGTTTGAATTCAACCAGCTGTAAGTTGTTACAGGATGAGCAGCCTGCTGCGTCTGGAACAAAGGCCAGGAGCATGCCTCAGGTACTCCAAGATCTCCTACCAGTGAACCCAGAAACAAAATTAGGAATACTTCTTTAAGAGCTGGGTGGTGTCAGTGGACCCATGTCTTTGATCCCAACACCTTTGATGTCAGCAGAAGGTTGCAGAGGCAGGAGGATCTCCGAGTTCCATAAAAAGCCAAACCAACCAAACAAATAATCCTTTACATTACCATTTTAAAACAAAGAATTGCAGGACGGAGGGAAACTACAGTGTTGGCATATTTAGCAGTGCTCCAAATAAGCGCGTTAAGGCCTACAGAGGGCCATGAACTTGATCTGTCTTGCTTATGTGCAGGGCTAGGAACCACGCTATCTCTGTTTTCCAGAAAGGCAGCGTCTCTCTTATCTCCGCAGCCGGTGGGCTTCTGGCTTGCGCCCAGAGCGCTACTCTGCAACCGCTTTCTAGCTTTGCACCTGTTTGGGAGAGAATTTTTGTAGTAGACCCCAGTGAGTCCAGGACTTCAGGTTAGGCGAGCCTAGTTCTGAGCTCGGATGAGGAGAGCAGGGGAGGAGCAGGTTGATCAACCCGTGGGTCATCCAAAAGCTTCAGCAAGCGAAAGAGCAAGAGATGCACCTGTGCGTGGATCTCACCACGCCTCCAAATCCCGCCCTCACCAAGGGTTCCGCCTCTAGATCTTTCCCTGCCTGGAGCCTCGGCATCGCCAGCAAGGCTGAATGCCATCACCGCAGGCCCTGCTCCAAGACTTAGGCAATGCCCCAGCACGCGCTAAATACCCAGTTCAGACCCGGGCCCTAAAACTCCACCCCCACTCCGCCAGCCACACCCCCTGGCGCCTAGCGACCCTCAGCCCAGCGCCCCGGCGCCGAGGCGCGCGTCTCTGACGTATGGCGCCCTCCGAGTGACGCACAAGTCCCGCCCCGGCTTCAAACCCCGCCCAGGCGGTGGCAGTTCCCCGCCTCCCGCAGGCTGAGCCTCTTCTTCCTGAGCCGAGGCGGCGGCTGGGGCGGCGTTTTCGGTGCCCGCTGCGGTCTAGGTGGCGTTCCTGTTCGGCAACGAGCGGCCGTGCAGCCCCGGCGCCCGCGGGCAATGGTGCGGTGGAGCGCGCGGACGCGGACGGCCCTGCGGCGGGCATGAAGGAGGATGGAAGGGCAGGACGAGGTGTCGGCGCGGGAGCAGCACTTCCACAGCCAAGTGCGAGAGTCCACGGTGCGTGGTCGGGCGGCTCCCTTGGTCCTGCACTGCGTGCCGGACCCGGGAGTCGCAGCGCAGACCAGGACGGTCCCCTCGCTTCTCCCCGGACCCCCGCCCATGCTGGCCTTCCAGCGCCCCACCGGGTCTGCTGCAGACCGACTCCGACGCCCCGCGTCACTTACGTCCTCTGTCACCTGCGGCCCGGTCACCTGTTCCCCATCTCCTCACCTGTGTCTCTCTCCTGTCGCCCGCTGCCCTTTCCTTTCGTAGACCTTCCTGGCGCCACCCGCGCTCCCTCCCCTATCTGTCCTCTCTTCACCTATGCCCCCTCCCTACACCTGCACTTCCTGCCCCGCTCCCATCACCTTTATCCCCCTTCCGCGGCATCCCCTCCTGCCACCTGTGTCCCCTCCTGTCACCTGCACACTCTCTCCTATGACCCCTGCCCTCCAGTCACCTGTGCTCACCAACCACCTCTTGTCATTTGCATCCCTTCCCATCACGGTGTTCTCCCCTCCTGTCACTTGTCCCAGTCACCTACACTTAGCCCGTGTGTGTGTGTGTGTGTGTGTGTGTGTGTGTGTGTGTGTGTGTGGTGTGTTCACGCACCTCATCTGCCCCGTAGACACCTGCTTCACTCTCTTCTTCACCGGAGTTTATCCCTCATCGTCTGCTGACTGTCAGGGTGGAGGGTGATGGGTGGCTGCTGCTTTTCCTCTAGCATGGTACCTGGGCTGAGCTGGCTGTGGCTAAGGTGTAGGCGGTGCAGACTGCCTGGCTTCCCAAGCTTCCAGCCTGGCAGTGACTCTGGCCTCCCACTCACATCCCTCCCTTTGCCCTCCCACCCCCAAGCCAGGACAGTTAAAAACTTCCAGAAGAGGGAAAGCAGGTCTCTCCCGGGAAGGGTGACAGCAGAAGCCCACAGTGCTCTGAAGCAGTTGTTCCGGAAAGGAGAGGCCTGCTTCATTCTGGGGCTTCTAGCAGGTCAGGAAGCCAACTTGACTGCCTAAGTTCTGTGATGAGCACCTTTCAGGATACACTACAGTGTCTCCATAATTCTGTAAAGTATGCCCCTGTTGTACATATTTGCATCCACCCCCCTCCAGTCACATCCTCTGTTTGAGGTGAGCAAATTCTGGTTCAAAGAAGTTCAGTTTGTGCAGTTACTGATTTTGAAAATTGAGAATTGGCTTGCCAAATAATATGGGTGTAAAAGAAGATGCAGAAGTCTGTGCTGATAGAATTTGGCATGGTACATTTGATTTAATTTTTATTTTTTATTCTTTCATCATTTCATCCAAGTATTTTGATCATATTTACCCCCTCTCCAACTTCTCTCAGACCTCTTCCTATCTACTCAACTTCATGACATTTTTTTAAAAACCCATTTGAATCCAATTTGTACTGCCGTTATACTCTTAGGTGTGTGGACATTCATTGCAGTGTGGTTGACCTTTGAGGTACCACACCCTTAAAACAGACTCTCCCTCTTTCAGCATCTATCAGTTGCCAATAACTTCTCAGTTAGGAGTGGGACTTCATGCCCACTTCTGATCTCCATGCTGAGATTTTGTCTGGATTGAGCTTGCCCAGGTTTTGTGTGTGTGTTTCACAATCATCCTCATTTCATTTTTGCAGCTGCCCTGTTATAACTGGACAACACTGCTTCTGTATGGCCATCTGTTGCTTCTGGCTCTTAATATCTTTCTGTCCCCTCTTCCACAATTATTTTAAGCCTTAAGAAGAGGGAGAGTGGTATGGAAATCCTATTTAGGGCTGAGCATTCATTCTTTAGTCTCTTACAGTGCACCTTCTTGACCTGTTAATAGTCACATACACAGAAAGCATCTCTGATGAAGGTTAAAAGACACACTAATCTGGATATAACAATAAGTCATTAGGAATCAGTTTAATATGATGTCCATTTAGCAATAGAAAAATAATAGGTTCTCTCCTCGGGCCTATGACTTTTCTAGCCACAGGTTCTTGTCTCTAGTAACAGTACCAGGTATGGGTTTCCTTTTGTGGAGTGGACCTTACATCCAATCAGGAAGTGGTTGTTACTCCCACAACATTTGTGCCACGAGGAAGGGATCTATAATTTTAAGTATGCCCTAGATAAATTTCTTACTAAACATACTTGACTAATCATGGTTCCAGAAGCAGAAACAGTTTTACTACTGTGCCAGAGGCCCACCTTTCCTCTACAGCTGTAACTTTTGTCTCCTGCAAGAGTAACTGCTGCTCTGGCTTCTAAAGCTATAGGTTAATTTTAAGTTTATTTTAAAAATTATTCATTTATTTTATATGATGAATGTTTTGTGTGCATTTATGTTTGTATATCATTTATGTGCCTGCTGCCCATGGAAGCCAGAAGAGGGCACCAGACCACCTGGAACTGGAGTTACAAGTAGTTGTAGGTTGTCCCATTGCTACTGGACACCAAACGTGGGTCCTCTGCCATTGAACTACAGTGCCGGCCCAGAGAAGTGACAGGCTCACTCACTCCTCTGGGTCTGGTAACCCGGTAGTGGACATCTGTTAGCTCCTGAAAGTTCAGTTGGGTGGATGTGCTCTGGCAGACCCATGGATCTGAGACATGGCTGGTTCGGCAGCACTAGTGTGCCCTCAAGCTCTGAGGGCTGTCTTCAGGAATCCCAGGGAGCGCAGGTGGGTGTGTCATAATGTGTGGTGATAGGCTCAAGTGCTTGCTTTGTGAAATGTGTGAATGTTACTCCTTCTTTATATGTGGGTAGATGACTAGTTGTTTCAACAATTATTATTTTCCTCTTTGTATGGTCTTTGTGCTTTGGGAAAGACCAGCTAATTGTATAATACGGTTATATTTCTAGCATTCTTTTTCTATACTATTGGTCAATACTTCATCAATACTATACAATTTTGATTACTTAAGCTTTATTTTTACTTTCAAAAGTCCTTTTATTTTATTTCATTTTTCTTTAAGTTGTGCTGATTATTCTGGGTTTTGTCTCTCCATATAAACTTTAGAATCAATTTGTTTCTATATACAAAGTAACTTGCTTGGGTTTTGATTGGGATTGCATTCAGTTTATAGATCAAATAAGAACTAATATCTTCATGTTCATGAACATAGGCTATCCCATTAAAGTTATTTTTAGACAGAGTTTCATGTTTTTAATGAACATTTTAATGTATTTTGTTAATTTATAAATATGTGGTTGAAATTCATTCACATCTATGTACCTACATATATCTATATTGTCATGTTAGTGTAAATGCTGTGCGGTTTTACTTTTAAATTTCACTTGTTCCTGTGCTGGTAACACACACTTCTTTTTGTTTGTTTTCAAGACAGGATTTTTTTGTGTAACCTTGAATGGCCTGAACTAGATCTGTAGACCAGGCTGGCCTCTAACTCACAGAGAGTGAGTCTGTCTCTGCCTTCCTAGTGCTGGGATTAAAGGTGTTCACCACCATTTCCCAGTCTTTTTTCTTTCCTTTTCTTTTCTTTTTTCTTCTTTCTTTCTTTCTCTCATTCTTCTTTCTTTCTTTCTTTCTTTTTTTTTTTTTTTTTGGTTGTGTGGGGGGGGTGGCGCATACCTTTAATTCCAGCATTTCCACAGGTAGAGGCAGGCAGATCTATGTCATTTTAAGGCTAGTCTAGTCTACATGGTGAACTCCAGGACAGGGTGGCCTATATAGTGAGACCTTATCTCAAAACAAAACAAAACAAAACAAACAAAAAAAGTAAGCAACAGCAAAACCCTAAAACCAAGACCAAACCAAAACAAAAATTTCACTTGTGCATTCTGGCATATAAGAAAGTGATTGACTTCAGTAGATTAAACTTGTAACTTTCATTCTTGCTACAATTATGTATCAGGCTCTAGGTTTTTGCATGTATTCATTCAGGATTTTCTGTATAGCTTGCACAGTTATTTGTATACAAAGGCAGTTTTACTTATTAAGTAATTTTTCTTGTCTTCTTGCACTAACTAGGATTCCTAGCACTGTGTTGAAGATTATGAGAAAAGGTGCCCTTGCCTTGTTGTAGATCTTAGAGAAGCTTTGCACTTCTCATTATTAAGTATGTTTGTTATCGATACTTTGTAGATAGGTATTCTTTAGCAGTTGAGGAGGGCCTCTAATCTTAGGATCTTTATTTTTGTTTTAAGACTTACTTACTTATTTTTTTAATGTACATTGAGGTTTTGCCTGCATATCTGTGTGAGGATATCAGATCCCCTGCAACTCGAGTTACAGACAGTTGTGGACTGTCATGTGGGTGCAGGGAATTGAATCTGGGTCCTTTGGAAGAACAGCCAGTGCTTTTAACTGCTGAGCCATCTCTCCAGCCCTAATCTCAGGATCTTTCAAAATTCATATTTTCTTTTACTTATTTGGTTTAGGTTTATTTTTTCTTTCATAATGAATTAATGTCTCCTTGCTAAAGGCTTTCATGTGTGATTCCCTCACTGTCCATCAAGGTCACTGAAGTTCAAGATTTCTGAAGATAGCTCTTTCTCAAAGAACCAATGCTTAATTCAGTTGCACCATCAGCCCATACTTCCTTTATCTGTCCATGCATTAAAGACAGACATAGTCATGAAAAATTCAAAGCTCTGCACTGGAGAATCTTTATATCAATTTCTTCAAACAATTTACTTTAGGAACCATTTTAGTGTAGGTCTGCCTCTCCCCTACTTACACCTCGTGTCTCTAAAGAATGAGTTCAGGACATATTTATTCCTATCACATTCAGGATACAGGGTCTGTGTGCAGGATACACCAGTGTTACATGGAAACAAACATCTGTACATAGGTGTCTTTATCTCTGACCTCATTCATGTTCAAGACAAGCCTTCTTTGATATTCACATGTTCATCTCTTTTCTGTCCTCTGTCCAGTATTTTTGGCCTTAGAAGCCTTTTAGAGAATGTAGCTTCCTTTTTTACTCTTCTCTTGTTATATATTGACATTTCCCTACTCTTCTTTGGGAATTTGAAACTTACCATGAATTGTCTTTTACTGAT